ACAAGATAGAGTCGAAAGTTACCGGCACTTTGATTCTACGACGAAACCCCCCGGAAATTTCTCTGAAAAGAATATCACGTGAATCAACGAGATTGGCCATTTAACGTTGAAATGCTCGCGCTAGGACACAGTAACTGCTGCAAATAGTGCCAAGGAATCTCTAACACGAACGAATAGCTAGTTAATGACGTTGTTGCGCCAGTTGCTCCGGCGTTAAACTTAAGGGGGCCGAAACTTACATTTAAATGCCACTCGAAACGTTAATTAGACGCATACTTAATTACAATTCGCGTCAGAATGTAGTTCACTTAAAAACGATATGAATAACATCATAGTGTTATCGTAAATGAAAATTGTATTTATGGGAAAATTAATGCGATTTTGTGATTCTAGTAACATTTATACAAGTCAGTAAAAGTGAAGAACTGTACACTGTTTCAAATTAGTTGCACTTTTATTCTTTTCAAATTATGCAAAATGATCGATATTTTTCATTTAAAATATAATTTACTTGGTCGAGCTAGATTGAGCTAGAAACAAGATCAACCCTCTTAATGTTCACTAAAATGATAGAAAATTAATGAAGTTTAATGATTTATAATAAACTTCGTATTACTTTATAAATAAATATGCAAATTCATACCGAATCTAAAAATTGAATAACAGGCGACCAATTTTGATTTACGAAAGTATTAATTTTATTTGCAAAAAGTTAAATATGATTTACAAAACGATTAATTTGGAATACGAAGAATTTATTTTAAGAATTAATCTTGAGTATTAATTTCAAGGATGAATTTTGAGAATTAATTTTGAGTATGCTCTGCAAAAGATTTAATTTTTAATGCAAAACCAGTGTAGCTTGAATTTGCTCTCTTTGATATTTCGCATAAATGTCTATTCGATTCCTATATAACCTCTCGCAGCTGACAAACAATTTTTGTTTTGCACAAAAACACAGGCGATTCGCTCAGATTCGCGTGGCATCAGAACGGTGGACGCGAGTTAGCATGATCGACAGCTGTGTTCGAGCTGCTCTGGAACAAAGGGTGGCTGTAAAGGGAAAAGATGGACAGGCAAAGTAACGAAATGGACAGACAAGAGTGGTGATGAAGATTCAGTAATAAATGGCCGATAACCTATTGACCCGGATAGGACCGGTGATATTGATTAGTCAGCGTGCATGTTTGTCCCAGCAGCCACTCGAGCACAACCCTTTCCCAGCGCCACGCCGTTCAACCTTGCAGAATAGAAGCGGTCTCCCCCCTCGGTTCAATCTTTCTAATAGTTCATCCGTCTTTGTTCCAGCGAATCCTGTGTGCAAACTTCACGTTCCCTGTTTTTATTTTCTCTTGTGTATTCCTACCGCGGAGACTTCGGTCAACCGTCCCGCCGCCGCTCTTTTTCGTCTAGTCTGCCAACGAAATTGGATTTATGGCTTTATTTTCCCCCTTCATGGACAATATCCACCACACAGATTGCGCGACGTGGAGCGCAACTCTCGGTATTATAGTAAAATAATGGACCCCTGGCGTCCCTTTCATGTCAACCATGGCTTTCTTCCATGTGGAAAATAGAGAAGGCCTATGGAGCCGATCGGAGATCCGATGTATCTACTTCGAATCACAGTGGAATCGATTTTTCGTGTAACTAGGGTATGGATGTCCCAATTACTACCACCGTAAGCTCATCGTGTAGCTCTAGTTAATTATTTCAGAAGTTGTTTAACTTAAGAATCATTCTAATAATGCTTACGATCACTTTTATTCAAGAGTTTTTTTATGTAAATATTATGCGTTAATCGCTAATTATGGCGAACTGTCCAGTTCGTAATTAAATAAACTGTCAGTCATACTGAATAATTAATAAATTATAAAGACAAGACGTAGGTAATTGTATATATGTATTATACATATAAATTGACACAATGCTATGTATATGCATCACAAACAACACCGACGATAAATAAGTACATGTCAGCAATATGCAAAAATTACAAGATTTCAATCAAACAAGACAGATTTCAAGGCGGAGGGATAGATTAAGTTTATGTATGCTGGGTATACTGTGGCAATTATGCGTGCACGACACGTAACGCCGCGCCAATTTCTGACGATAATAATATGGACTGAACAAAAGAACATTGTCCCTAATGCTGTCGCCACCAATTATTATAAACTGATAATAGAAGTCACTGCTTTTACTCGTTTATATTAGTAAAATAATTCTGAAATATATTAAAAATTCATTTATTTCAACAGATATCAGATGAACAGTAACTCTTTTCGCACTACACTTTTTCGCAATTCATATTTAATTTATTCTAAAATATCGGATGAAAATTATTTAATTGGAATACCCGACTAAAAAGTGAAAAATAAGCTGTCAGACGATGTAATTGCTTTCGCAAAACAAGCTCCTCGCAAAAGGTAGCAGTTCGTTTGAAGTGCAAACGAACGAAAATTACTTTTTCCAGCACCTAATATAGTATCCGCAATTTTCAAACTGAAAGTCGAACTTCATAGAAATTATTGATGTTACGTGTTACATTGTATATTGAAGATCGAATTTTCGTATGACATAAAATTTCCTACAATTTATTCTCAGTTATATCCAAAAGGATTGATGTAACAAGCGCAAGGCTTACATCTTTATTATTTAACGAAAGACGGCGACTATATACTTGTGATATATGTCTTTTTATACGTGAGAGCAAGGGAAATATTCCAGGTGGACAAAATTACTGTCCCACCCCGTGTATCGAAACATTTATCACCTAGATTTATGAACTTGACGGTTCTCGTATTACGAAGGTTTTAGCAGTTTGCCACCCTATTGTCATATTTCTTAGGGTACAGGCTGTTCCGAACCCCTCAAGAAGGTCACTCTAGTCATCCAATCAAGTCGAAACGAAAAATACATGGGACCCCTGTCTACGAGACGGAAAGAACCAGGCAAATTTAGAATTGGTAAGTTCAACAACCGCCTGAATTGATTAGGAATAAATTATTCATTTCCCAAGGTGATCATTCTGTTCTTCAATGTTAAATTATTCAAGAAAGAGGAATCAGATAAAAGAATAAACGGAGACAAAAAGTCGAAGTACAATTCGTGCCACTTTTTCCTTCAAAATGATCATTCTATTTTTGAGAAATGAGATGAAATAAGATAGAAGAATAAATGTTTTTTTGTCCCAAATCGATCACTCAATTTCTCAATGTGAAATTATCCGTAAAAGAGGAATTAAATAAAAGAATGAAGGAGGACAATAAAAAAGAAAGACTAAATATGCACCTTATAATATAGTTAAGGTATTGTTCCAATAAAATTGGAAACGAGCTTAACATCGTCTTAGAATTTGTGCCATTTCTGTGCCCCAAACTGATCATTCAATTTATTAATATAAAATTATTTGTATAAGAGAAATGAAGTAAAAGGATCAGAGATGGCAATAAACGTGACATATCTTGACTCAAAGTGCACTACCTAAAATAAGTAAGGTGTCATTTCGATGAATATCCGCTTTAAAATGAGATTATGATCGTAATGGAATTGCGCCATTTTGCAGAATATTTCATAAAAGAACCCGATACATCGAAATATTAACTAGAGGAAACAGAAAATATATTTTTAAAATTGCTATTGCATTGTTTTTAATATTTTTTACGATAATTCCTTCGGATTTTAGAAGCGACCGAATTTATACGGACCATTTTTGTTTCGAAGATGAATAACTCGGCAAAAGAAAATCGTACAACAATTAACCAACATAGATATTATATACAAATAAAATATATAAAAAATATATAAAATATATAAAATAATATAAAAAAAATAATATAAAAATATATAAAACATTTAGTCCCCTGTATATAGCAACTTTTGTTTACTCGCATAGTACAATAAAACAGATTTGAAGACCTATCAAAGTACTATTTATACCGCTTTAATTTTATCAAAAATAAGCATAAATCAAATTTTCAGTAGGCATCTGAAAGTAGAGATTGCACGCTTTCAAATGATGTTTTAATAATATCGATACTATCATTTTTGTTGAAGTTATGGCCACTTGAGCTTGGTTCAATTTTTAGGTCCATGGTATAAATTAAAATTTTAATGAAAATTAAAATATGTTGACATAGACATTGTTAAATATTTTTGGATAACAACGAAGTGAAAAATTGACAAATTAATTTCAGGAAAACTGTACGCAGTGATACATCGATAGAATATTTGCAAATTTTGGAAACAAATATTTTCAAACAAAGTTACTGTATGAACAACAATGTTTCGACAATATTTGACTTTGTACTTTCTATACGTGGAGCAAACAGTGCATATTGAATCAACAGTATATTTTCATTAGATTGTACTAAGTGGACAGAATCGTACTAATCAAATTTATGCCAGTTAGCGATAAAAAGTGATTATGATCGTTTCGCATGGCTCGACAAAACTGGACGAAGGAAATAATTAAATTTGAATAAATTCGCGGTTTGATGAAATGGTAGTAATTGCGGAAGGTAGGATTGCTACTTGATTGCTTAAAGTTGGTTAAGAATCGATTTCGCTCGTTATTAAACCACCGTGAAGCTGTATAGTACTCTTTTAAAAAATAGAATTACATTCGATTCTGTGAAACGTGAAATTAATTTTTATATCCTGACTAATGAGACGCTTCAAAATGCTAAACATCGATCAGTATAGATAGAGGAAACATTTATATTATAATTTAATGTTAGTAAGAGAAAATTACATTACCCCTTACTTTTGAATTTTGGAGGTTATTATACTATTAAATTAAACCTTCTCGATACATGGAAGCACTTTTAAACACATTTCAATCAGTCCAAATATTAAATATTAATGAAATTATATGCCATACCTTCCAGGAAACTGCACTAATTGAATACGGTTATTTGGCTCTCGATTTCTTGTTACAAATCGATAGCACTCTGTCGGGCGATTTCAAAAGCGCATGTAGGGATGTAGAACTATTTCGCGCGCTTTTCCGTCACCTGTTGCGTTTGACGTTTGTATGCTGTGCTCATTTCTATTAAAATTTGTGAAAAGTATTGTGTTCGTTAAGTGAGAATATTGTTATTTTGTTAAGATATTGAGTCATCGTTCCGCTGCAACTGTAAGTACTGCTGTTCATGTTGTTATAAATTTTCGGTTTAAATCATTCTAACCTCAATTCTTCCACATGCCGGTACGAAATTCGATACATACACGTGTGTATTTTGTGAAAAAGGTGTGGAAAGATTAACATTAACACGCCACATTTAGTGTATAGTTCTTAAGTAGGGTTTATATATTTATAAAATGATATAAGTTTAGAAAATCATATCACGTGGAAATAGTATAATGATGATATAATAAATGTTGTTATATACTTGGTTTTACAGGAGATACATAGAAATTCATTGTGGCAATGATTGTTACATATTAGTAAAGGAAATTGTATTCTTGGTTATTATATAAACAAAGCGCAATGTCGGATTATATTTCTACCGAGCTCACTGCAACTTGCAATGCACTTGGTTATTATGATGGACGGAAGTATCATTTAGATAAGCATTGTTTAGGTGAGGCTGTTAATTATTGTATGATTTAAGATTATTTCCAGAGGAAGTTAATTAATTTAGAATAATAGTTAATATTTCTTTATTAAGTTTATTATTTTAATTGTAGATGTTATAAAAGATTTAATTAAATATTTGAGAAGGGATGACGATGACCATGTCGTGCGTCAGTTTCTGGGTCAGACAAAGTTGCTTCAAACAGATCTTATGAAAATTTTCATTTGCCATAGCGATAAGACTGATTTGTGGGATGTATTGTTGAGGCAAGTAATTATTTACAGTACAGCCAGTGGAAATTATATTTCTATTTATTATATTTTACTTATTTCAAGTTGCAAAAAATCACTGTGTTCTTATTTTAACACAATCATAGTAACTATGTATTCATTTAATTAGGTTGATTATAAATTTGACCAGTCCAGTCTTCTTAATTTATAATGAAGAAATACCTACAGAAAAAACGCAACGCAGCATATATCAGAAACTTGTTTCTTTCACACAACAGTATAAAACAGCATTAACTGAGGATTGCATATGGACAACATTAAGCAATCGCTTGAGTAACATTCTGAAAATTGTAAGTTTACAATATATGTAAACTCGCATGTGTGCTAATGATTATGAAAATGATCTAAGAATTATGAATTCACTAAACAATATAAGTTAGTTTACAGTTAGATCACTTTCAGAATTATTAACACATATGTTCTCTGAATCTAGAACAGATTCATTTATTTATTTTCAATCGCTATAGGATAGTTCAGAAAGAGGGGAGGAAAAAGAAATGATGATCGAAAGAATCCTTATTTTTATCAGAAATGTCTTACAAATTCCTCCCGATGAAAATGAAAAGCGTGTTGATAATGATGCCACTATCCACGATGAGGTACAGCATTAAATACAATGCTCCGTTATTTATATTTGAAAATTATCCTTGTATATTTCTTCAGGTGTTGTTTGCTCTTAATGCTTCTGGTCTTGTCGATTTACTATTGTTTGTTGCTAGTAATCTCAGCGAACAGAAGTACCATTTACAAATACTTGAGGTATGTGGTCATTAAAAATTCATTTCTCAATGATTCTAGATCATTACATTTTAATACTTGCACCCTTTAAGATAAGTTGCACCCTCAGATAATTTTTGATGCAGGCAGTCTATTGAGTTAAAGATTATTTTTGTACAATTTTTTATTTGGGCAATCTAATAACCATTAGAAACTACTCTGCAACAATTTTTGATATTGGTCTATTAGTATTAAAAATTATTCCCAGACAATTTTTTATATAGGCGACCTATTTAATATTAAAGATTATTTCCAGACAATTTTTAATAAGGAAATTTATTAAGCCAATATTGTTTATTTTAATTATAATGAAGAATTAGTTCATAGCTTGTACAATTGGGTGTGTATTAGAAACATTTAAAATCCAGTTGTTTCTAATCTTTAATTAATTACGTCGATATTATCGATGTTTCTACATACATTGTTGCAAATATTATTAGATCGTTTCATTAATGCTCGGCGATCAAAGTGCCACTCAGTTAGCAACTTCCGGTTTGCAACGTAGCACCACCGAGAAAGAAAAAGATGAAGCGGTGCTTTTAGCCGCTCGGCAGAAGGAGAAGCACGAAAAAATGCAGAAAATAAGAAAATTTGCTGCTGCTAGGTGAGTTTGAGCTTCCTTGTAATACATTCTTGCGCGTTCCTCTTCCTTACACATTTCTTCCGAAAGTTTTGCCAGTTATTTTAGTATATTAAAAATAGTTTCCGCATTTTACGTATTTAATGAAAGTATTTACATACATTTTTCAACATTTTAATAGGTTAAAATGAAGGTATTTCAATGAAAGTTGTATTAGTATTAAATTCCAAATTCACAGATCTGAGAAAATTTCGAAAGAAATTTCGTTCTTTCATAAGAAACTTAAATTATTTTGTATTTTTTAAAATGATCGAAAATCACGTTCTTAAACTATAAGAATAAACTAAATTTAATCATGCAGTAACATGTTACACTGTACTTCTCAAATACTACAATGATGTAATTTTGTTTTTTAAACTAATTCTATTTATGAAGAACATGTGTAGATTAAATAAGGAAACGTTGATTTTGATAATGATGTAGTATCTTACTAAAGAAAAGTCACGATAATGATACGCATTTAAATAAAAATAATTAAAGAAACAAAGATAAAGTTAATAAAGATTTTTTTTTACTGTACTTACTATGTTTTTCTCGAAACATATTCTTGTGTAGATAGACTGACAAATAATGATTATTATACATATTTCACTTTCTGGAAATACTGATTTTATTCGAATCGTTTCATTTCATATCCTCAAGATCCCATTTTAATTTGACCTAAAAACACAAAAATTTCACACGATGCAACCCGATAACCGCAGATTTACAATTTCCCCAATAAATCGCACGATCACATTTGTTCGTTATCACGGTATCAATTACCCGAATATGTGTGCAGTATGCACATACATTTCTTTTGATATGTATATCATAGAAACGCGGGCACATTTACACCGGGTCAACAAGTAATTTCCATTTTAATGCGGGAATGTAAATGTGAGTGCGTGGCTCGCAAAAGGTGAAACAAATGGTGATACAACGCTAGGCGTATCCTTACGGGAACTAACAATAATGTATGCGGGTGGCGGTAGAAGAGGCGGGCATTAGATGCGTAATGAATGTGACCCGGATTTTAAGTAAGTCCACACACCGGAGCTGGATAAAGAGGGAAAGGCTTTCACCCACTTGTACCGAAGAACGCGTGTTTCATTCTTCTGCCATGCATTATTCGAATCTTTTTGTTACGTGCCCCGGCTATAGCACTTCCAGCGGAAAGCTTTTTGCGCCTCGAAAGAGGATCAAAAGCACTAAAAAGATCGAGCTTTTTGCGCCTCGCCTCGCGAACCAGTCGATAAACAACTCGATTGGAAAACGACTGCCCGGGCACGGACCAATCCGAGATTTTAACTGCAATGTTTTAAAGATGAGAGGCCAGATATTTATACTAAATTCTAATGGGAATCGTTCGTCGTGTCGGACGTCTCGGAGTTCTTTCTCGATGCTTGCAATCGTTGATCTGCGATTTTCCTACCGCGTCATAAGGAGCTTGATATTTACCACTGATATCGTGTCTTTTGTATATTGGGATCATGATTCCAATAATTCTATGTTGTATTTTATTTTTATGCAGTGATTGGAAACTTAATTCCAAATGTTGCATGGTTTAATAAGCCTAGCGAAATTGTCAATTGTAAGTATGCTGGTTCCATATGGGAACATTGTACTTATGACTATGTACAGGGTGTCCCATAAAATTATGTTAACATACGGAAAGGGGTGATTCCTAAGGTCATTTGAAATATCTTTTTCCTTAGCGAAAAACGGTCCTAAAATTATGTTACGTATGCATATATTAAGATACATATTAAAAAAAATTCATATTTATAAATATTATTGAAAAGTGTAAAAAAAATCTTGCTTGATCAGGAAAGATCCCAAGGTACTATTGGAGGTTTAACACTAGAATTACTGAGCCCTAAACGCGAATAATGTATATTACTTTATCACACCGACAAGATTGAATTTACACAAATTTTGAAGAATTTCCATTATAACTAGACTTTTGATCTTCATGCATTTATGGCATGTACAGATTTTTAAATTGCAGCAAAACATATAAATTGATAAAGTCTAAGTACATTTTTATTTGTTGTTTTTACAATGAGTAATCTTTTAGTTGAAGGAAACTTTACTTTAATTTTAATTTTGGTAAAATGAAGTATAGAAATGAGAATTTGCACAAAGAAGCACAGTATAATTATAATATACGCTTGAATAAAAGAGTTTGTCAAAGAATTGCTCATAGAATCATATCTTCAATTTCAGTAACTGGGAAAGAAAGTCATTTTGGATGGTTTGGTGCTTCTGGTATTAATTATTTTAAGAGTTGTAACAACTAAACATATATTTCTCGCGTGAAAACTACACTGTTTGGGAGGGCCCATTGTATGGTGGGACGAACCAAACTTAAGCATTTTAAGCTTGCAATGCTACAGGGTTCCTTGTAATTGTAGTAAAATTTATTACACACCGGTTTTCGCTACTGTGTTGCAAGGCAATTGCAAGTACGGTACTTCTGTAATCCGTTTTAACTGTTTGAATTATGCAGTCTTTAACTGTGTACCTGAGCTGAATTAGTGAAGTGACATTTGTAGAAGGATGATAGTGCAGTATTTCACATAGTTCAAAGAGTTAAATATTGTGGTAGGCAAGAAGTTTTTCTGAATACCGTTCACCTTACAATGTGTAGCTGCTTTAAAGATAAATCTAAATAAAAATCATTTGCATTAAAATGAAACAAAGGCAACAATCCTTAAATTCCTAAAATCTTCTGAACACATAATTCTTTGTTTTAAGCAGTGTATCTTTGCTTTAGAAAATATTTTTCTAATTAATACAATTTTTGAAATGTTGAAGTCTTTAATAACTATAGAGAACAGTACACGTTAAGATTTTCTATCGAGACACTCATTTAAAAAATAGTATATAATAGTATATAGTAGTATAAATAGATCTTTTAAATGTATTGTGCAAGCTGCACTTTGTCTTTCACAAAATCTCCTTTCTAATTTAATAGTTCACGAATTTCCGTAATGAATTTGTCTTCGTTACGTTGCTCCTCTATCCTGAAAATTATCATCGATCGGATCTAGCTCGAGTAATTGCGTCAGCTGTTTAAAAATAATACGAAGAAGGCATCGGAAGCCCGCGCAGAGAACTGCGAAGGAAGAAAATACGCTCCCGCCGTTTAGTAAACTGTCTGCTAGTGACATCCTCCTTCTATCCCGCTGATTGGATTTTCAGAAGTCATGGATGAAATTGGATTTGAATGATCAGTTCTTTTTTTCAATTACTAGCTAGCGCATTCTTATGCATGCTGATTCATATACGTAGATTGTATACGCCGGAATTGCGAGCTTGATCTTTCCATCTCGAAGCTGAACTTCATCCCGCGAGACCATCACTTGCAAGCAAATCTTCGAGAGAGAATTACGAGATAGGAAATTACTTTTTGCAAATGTATCTTCTCCATTTTTAGGTATTTTTTTGTGAATACGCAAACAGTTGTACTGAATGGTTCACCTAAATGCAGTCACTTCAATAGTCTCTTAAGTCCCGATGACGTAAAACATATTGTATTTATAATTTACTGGAAACGAAGTATAAGTCATTTGTAAGCATCAAAATTTTATACAAGGATAATAAGAATATAGCGTAGTTTGATATTCATGTAAAGGTTGATTGTTCTAATGTAAACTGTATGTATCGGTATTTATGCAAAGAAAAGAACATGAATGATCGTGGCATAAGAATATTCTTTCTAAAAAAAGTTCATTATTACCATTCAAATGATACCATTGATTGAGATATTTACCTGGATTGTTGGCACCCTGTATAATATTAAACGCTGTTGAATCAAATATGAACATTCCATATTTCTGTGGAATCCAGATAATCGATTGATCATTTTTTAGGCATTCTCATTTCTGCGGCACCTACGTGGTCCAGAACATGAAGGCGATCGGCGAGAATCCGCTATTGTGTCACAAACCCTACCAGAAGATACAGGACTTAAGTTTCGGCAATGAGAAGGTAAAAAGTTCTTCGTGTTCGGTCTGGCTGTGTGCTGAGTATGATCGAAGGAAACGAAGTGTCGGGCGAGAAAACGATCCATTCAATTAATCTTTGGTTTCCGAGCGGTAGTCCTCGTTAATGAGTGAGTGGAAACGAGGCTGGCTGGATTTGAATGAAAATACGGCTGTTAATTAGGGCTATTCTCGCGTAATTAGAACTGGCTCCTTGCTTAATGGCGCTGAAGCATTTAAAACTGGGTCACCACTCTTCCGTTCCTCCTCCTTTTCTTCTGGCTCCTGTGCTCCGCCAGAAGAGATCCTTTTCTCCCTTATACTGTTATTACCCGTCCTCTCCGCGGAACATCCGCATTTCAGCAGAGAGAAACTTTTCCTAGCTACCACATAGCTCGTTTCATTATGAACTGTCATAAATCCAGTAGGTCACATGCCTGTCGGCTAGCCGAATTGAAGTGATTACTGACTACCGTCATATCTTTTATGAAATTCCGCCCGCCTCGAAGTATCTCTCCCTTCCCCGCAAAAGCCTTTTTGTTTCCTCTTCTGCCTTCTTATGGAATCGTCACATAAAAAGTATGACCGGCCCCCTTTTATGGCAGCGTTGTAATATGCTGGATATTTATCCGACTCCGTTACAAGGGGCTTTTACGAGTACTATGACGACGGAACACTGCGGTCGTGACTCATATTCCTTGACAAACTCGACATGGAAATGGAAGTCCTCTTCACAATCCTTAATTTATGGCATTAATCATGGTTGCGGTTAGCAGGGTTCCTCTTCTTTTTCGGGAAAAGTGGGTCAATCTGTTTTACAAGTGAACTGATGTCCAATGCTGGAGAATTGTTTCCGTGAAATCCTCTTAGTTCTTTCTTGTATGTACTTTGGAATTGTACGAAATTGTTTATAGATGTAATTTATTTTCATAGGGACACCAATTCTCATTCTTGTAGAAGTTCTAATCTGTTTCATAAGTGAACTTGATACTTAATGATAGAAGATTGTGTTACTGTGCAATTTGCTAATTAATGTTCGTTAGTTTCACTTGTTTAAAATTGTATTGGCTTTTTAAATGTGTTTTAGAATAATATATAATTGTCTACAGAGAATTCCACTTATAATAATATCCATATCGATATTATAATATCTCTATTTTCATTTCCTTACAAGCACCACAGTTTAATAGTAACAAAGTTACTACTAATTTAAAGTTGCTTACTTCTTTGATTTTATCTCTCTGTTTGATGTTCTACCCAGAGTTGTGCAAAATTTTATCCGACATTATATACTTGAATCGAATACTTGATCTAGATAACAATTTATTCGAATAAGTTTATATTCGAATACAAATTTATTTTAATAAGAAATTATCTGTTATTCGAATAAGATTTGATAGATTAATGCATAACTAAATGAACTTTTTTCGGGTGCAAAAGAAGTCATTAACAATTATTGGCATTATTATCCGAATAATTGTACTATTTCTGTTCATATAATTTGTTCGAATAAAAAATGCAGAATTATTCGAATGGATAGAATACTTTGTTACGGGGATAACTGAGTTTGATTCATTTGATTACAAGGAATTTTTCACTGTATCTACAATTTAGTATATTTCTACCGTTTATACTTTGATTTAATTTCATCTCAGAAAATACTGGCAAGACCAAAAAACAAACGTCCCATGACCGATCCAAGAGGCGAACGCACCTCCATTTTGAGCGTCAGATTGTTCCTGAAGGAGTTCTGCGTGGAATTTTTGAACGCGGCTTACAATCCCGTAATGAGATACGCCAGATCATGCATCATAGGAAATCCAGCCGAACAGTCGGAAACGGGCTGCTATCTTTGGTCGTTGCGTTTCTTCATGGAGTTCAATCGCCATTACAAGTTCGAGGTGAAATATGTGAGGTAAGTCGGCACAACTTTTCTGCTCGCTGATGGAAGGAGGCATATCGTCGCTGAATAGCTTCTGCAGGAGGGTGGGAGGGTAGTTTCCGAACTCGTTTTATGCATCGTCGATCTCCTTACGTCCCTGTCCGACACCATTTTTTAACTATCCGTAGAATTCAATTCTAATTCTGCGTGGAAGAACAAAATGTATTTATATGGGACACAGATGAAAATCAACGGTTGCGACCAAGAAATAAAAGCGCTTGTCAATTATCAATAATTTCTTAGAAGAAAAAGAAAATTGGTGCTTATTGTGTGCACAAATTTACTTGAATGCTTAAACAGTGATGACAAGATATTAAAATTTTATTCTAATTTTAATGGACAGAATAACATCTGTATTCAATAAGTTATTACTAGAATTTTTCATGACGAGTCGGACTCGTCAAAGTACGGCAGGGAGTTAATGTGAGCTCTTTAACATTTTCATATTCACCATTCTTTTTAATGATGAATACAATGTAGAATGTGAAAATATTAAAGAGAAGATTTAGAGATTTTTTCCTTGAGGTTACATTTTCCAGTATTTCTGTCGTTTTTTTAAAGGTACTGGTTTAATGTTTTTATTTTCATAGATATGTTACAGGTAAAAATATTAGTTGACTTACCTGTACATTCACGATTTTTAGTTAATATTTTGAAGAAATAGCAAACAGAATTGAAAACAACATATTGAGCTTTTCAATATCATAATTTTGTGTCGTACTAAAAATAGATAAAGTCAGTCGATCTACCATTTTGATATTATAGTAGCGTCTGCATCATTTGTGATTAAAGTAAATATGCGGGAGCCTGTACAAGTCAAGTTTTCATTGTTACATATCACTCATGCAGTAGAGTTTTCACTGAACATTTCGTGAACTGATTTTCTGTGACGTCGATATATTTCTTCGTAGCGAGACAATATCGACGGAGATATTTCATTTCGTGCAAAGACAAATGGAGCAGTATTACGAGAATATGGTGGTTGATAAAAAGAAGATACGGGTTTGGTCTCGTAGATTACATTTGGGATTAAAGGCATATCAGGTGAGAAACAAGATCAACGGGCGCGCGTCCGCTTTGACGCGGATTCGTGAAAGGAAATACGTTTTTTTTTTTACTTCCCTCGTTTTAGGAACTTCTGCACACCTTAATAGCAATGGATCAAAGCGTGGACCGTGGTGTTAGAGAATCCAGCAAAGTCATTAAGAGTAATGTATTTTATGTTCCGGAATATCGGGAAACGATTCTTTCGCAGCTTCTGTGTTTCGACGAGCTTAAAATGTCACGGTTCGTATACAGGAATGAAAGGAAGCACAATTTTTAAGTATCCGAGCATGCTTGACACACATGCTGCTCGCTAAAATTGCATTGTACAGTTCGAATGATTTAACCTCCGGAAAATCATTAAACTCCGAGTGCAGGCACGAAAGAAATTTTACAATCCGCACTCTTCAAAAACTCACTGCTTTTGTATTGTTTCACGGATATTTCTCAGCACAAATTACAGCTGTAACTGCGTGCGTAAAATTCTATCTTTGTACTCGCAATGTAATGTACAAGTGTATTAAATGCACCACTATTCTAAATAACGCATTATTTGGACGATTACTATTATTATAAACAGTAAGAACATAACATTGTTTTATGTTACTTGTAAATTAATAGTACCTTTGCTTTTATTGAAATTTCACTTTTAAATTCACATCAGAATACATAGATAGATCTATTCATTACATAACTATTGTTCTGAGCTAATTAATGCACTATTTGAATGCTCACTGCTTTGTAGTGTTTCATGTATAGTTTAGTACAAATTATAATTGTAACTGTTTTCATTGCAGTTCCGACTTTCAATTTGTAACGAAATGCATATACATGTATTGAATGCATCACTATTGTTCTGAGCTAATTAATGCGTTATTTGTACAGTCGTTATTTCATACTAGTATTACAAATTATAATTGCAATTGTTCTCATTGAAATTCTACGTTTTATTTGATGTCACAATTAGTCTATTATATTATCTATTATTTAATGTGCATATTAAATTAAAATTAAAATTACAATCGTTTGTATAAAATTTAATTTTTAAATTCATATCGTGATGCACAATTATATTTATACGCATGATAAATTTCACTAAATGAAACATATATTTAAATGCACGATAAATTGCGTTGAAAGAAATATAAATTTAAATGCATGATAAGTTTCGTTGAAAGCAACATTTTAAACGCATGATAAACTGCATTGAAGGAAACATATCTTTGGAGTGTTTAATCACAATAGCCAGTAGCAATTTTCGTTAAAACTATATATATCTTATTTTAATTACTGATTTTAGGAAACGGAGTTGATTGAATGTGAAAGATCCCAATGCAATTTTAGCAGCAATTACATAAGAACAATAAGATAAGGCGAAAAACAGCTTGAATGCATTGTCGCATCTCAGCGAGTATGCAAAAGTTTCGTTGTAGAAGTTCTTTAATCACCATTAGTGTTCGAACGACCTACTAATTAATAGGAGTCGATTCTCTGATTAAAAAGCCAAGTTATTCAGGAACTTCGCGGGCGTCATTCCGGCGCGTGCATTAGCGCAACTTGTCATTAATCAAAGATGCAACTTAGAGTAATTAAAATTGTACGCTGCATTGCGCATCGGCAAAAGCGATTAATATCTTCCATCAGCTCTTTCTAGAGCGGTTTCCAAGGTGGTAACAGATTAATAGGGTGTTCGAAAACCTTGGTGACTAATTCTTGCAACAGTTATCGCAATTAAGCCTTTATTGTTTCATTTTGTTTGGAAGTTTGAAAATGACAGATATAATATTTTCTTAATTGATATGTAATCAATATAATCGTTCTTCGTGTTCAAATATTTGTATTATTTATTACGTTCTTAAAAAATTATCATTAACATTTCTCGTTTCTTATTTTACTGCAAAAATCGTCGTAATCATCTGCCTATGCAGAATTTCGTCTCTGTAATTTTTCCACACAGAAATTGTTAAAATATGGGATTTTCGATGATTGATTTTCTGCATTGAACGATCGTAAATCGCTTCCATCAATCAATCGTCGCTTTGCCGACGATTAAATTTTAATCGTTTATATCGATCGAAACAAAACTTTTAATTATTTCTGCGCGCGATCCTAGGGTAAACAGGAGAGACGGACCCGATTGTAGCGTTGCATGATTGATGGCCCCATATCGGCGCAGTTTTCGGACATCTGTTTATCGCTCGGATGGAAATGAAAAAGGAAAAAAAAGGGAGCGCCGGCAAAAGGTTTTATCTAGGCAGACAGATTGATTCAGTTTCGAATCAATCGGGTCGAACAGCGAGGGAGCTACTCGCCGGCACCAGACTTCCTTGGTTCTTTAATGCTCTTGCTCCACCTCTGGCGCGTTCTCCCCCACGCCATTGTCTGCTTCTTCTTCTTCTTCTTCTTTTGCGCTTCTTGGTGGAATAAACAACTTTTATCGACCTTCCGGCTGGCGAAATGGGAAAAGGCGACGGGCGTTCAAGTTTCCGTGAGTTTGACGGGTTTTCCAAGGATTTCCACTGCGGAAATGTAAGGCCGATGCGCGCCTTACCGCGATATCGTCGCTACTGTGACATCCCGGTGACAGTGATGAAAACAAGACTTGACGGCAGCGCTAAACTTCGTTGGTAATGTTACCACTTTGAAACTCTACGCACGGCAGAACTGTATTAATTCAGTGACAAGTATTGTCCGGGATCCTGGCTGACGTTCCTGAATCTTACAAACTTCTCATTGTCAGCCTGTCTGCGGAACGGTTCATGGATTTTTGTCCTGTCCGTCTTTCCAGGTGATACGCATTCTATTCTCGCTGCTTTCTGACAAGACGCAGTCTTTGAGTGGAATTATTCCACGAGCAATTGGAATTTTCTTTCGCAGTTCTGATAAGTGAAGTAGAGCTACTACTTTCACTTTTCATTATTTCCTGCAGTTTGTAGGATAATGCTGTAGGCAGATGATAATTATGACTCTTCGTTCTATTTGAAAATGTTTTTCATTTTTTTTATCAATTTGAAAGTCAAAATACAAAGTTTTGATGATCCGGCTTTTGTATGTGCTCCATCCTAATTTTCTGCAGTTTGTAAAATACTATTGTAGAAGATGATTTTGACTTATGCATTTCGTCAACAAATATTTTAGGAAATCTCATTTTTCATTCTTCAGTGAATTTGAAAGATAAAATACAAAGTCTTGATTATTGGGGTTTTAGATGTCTTTTCCTTATTCTTTGCAGTTTTTAAAAATAATGTTGCAAGATATGGTTCTGACTTCTGTATTCCATTTAGAAATATTTAATGAATGAATTCTAATTTAGACATTCACAAAGTACTTACTCAACATTGCAAGAAGCTGTTTTTGGTCTTATTCTTAGTATAACATTAGTATGTGTAAATAAATAAAACGTACCAATTCCTTCCAAAGTAATTTCCCTTTAAGGTATCCTCACGACTGAGGATAAAAATATTTACAAATTTTGCATCCAAGAAAATTCTTTCACCTTCTGTTATTTTTTGTATTGCAGTGGAACCTCGATTATCCAAACTTCCAATACTTGAATTCTTTATTATTGAAACACATATATATGTTTAGTAAAATAATACATACACTATTACACAAAATTAGCTTTAGATTGAATCTAGCATTTTAATTCTATAATAGATAAATTCTATAATTCTATAATACTATATAGATAAATTCTATAATAAATAAATGCTATAATTTGATTCTATAACTGTTCTATTATCCGAACACTCATATGTCTCTCATTAGTTGGGATAATCGCGGTTCTTCTGTACTTCAAAATGAACCTTACTTAAAGAGCACGCTGAGCGTGTTCCAACAAAACATTCTTTGTTTCTACAGTCAATATTTGATAGACCTCGTCACAACAACGCACATCTTCTTAAAAATGCTGAGCAATTACTGTGGGAAGAGCAGTCGCGGCATAAGAGTGCAGGAGACGAAGCGTAAACGTCACAAAAGCTCCGGCAAAAAAAGTAAGAGTCAGTTGCTTTCTGTTTTTAAAACATTTGGTACGTTCGCGATGAGTGTTTGTTTTGACTGCTACCGCTTCACTATAGAAATCGAATATATTATTATTATTATTATTATTATTATTATTATTATTATTATTATTATTATTATTATTATTATTATTATTATTATTATTATTATTATTATTATTATTATTATTATTATTATTATTATTATTATTATTATTATTATTATTATTATTATTATTATTATTATTATTATTATTATTATTATTATTATTATTATTATTATTATTATTATTATTATTATTATTATTATTATTATTATTATTATTATTATTATTATTATTATTATTATTATTATTATTATTATTATTATTATTATTATTATTATTATTATTATTATTATTATTATTATTATTATTATTATTATTATTATTATTATTATTATTATTATTATTATTATTATTATTATTATTATTATTATTATTATTATTATTATTATTATTATTATTATTATTATTATTATTATTATTATTATTATTATTATTATTATTATTATTATTATTATTATTATTATTATTATTATTATTATTATTATTATTATTATTATTATTATTATTATTATTATTATTATTATTATTATTATTATTATTATTATTATTATTATTATTATTATTATTATTATTATTATTATTATTATTATTATTATTATTATTATTATTATTATTATTATTATTATTATTATTATTATTATTATTATTATTATTATTATTATTATTATTATTATTATTATTATTATTATTATTATTATTATTATTATTATTATTATTATTATTATTATTATTATTATTATTATTATTATTATTATTATTATTATTATTATTATTATTATTATTATTATTATTATTATTATTATTATTATTATTATTATTATTATTATTATTATTATTATTATTATTATTATTATTATTATTATTATTATTATTATTATTATTATTATTATTATTATTATTATTATTATTATTATTATTATTATTATTATTATTATTATTATTATTATTATTATTATTATTATTATTATTATTATTATTATTATTATTATTATTATTATTATTATTATTATTATTATTATTATTATTATTATTATTATTATTATTATTATTATTATTATTATTATTATTATTATTATTATTATTATTATTATTATTATTATTATTATTATTATTATTATTATTATTATTATTATTATTATTATTATTATTATTATTATTATTATTATTATTATTATTATTATTATTATTATTATTATTATTATTATTATTATTATATAACCTTATATAATGCAATATATTGGAATTCAAGTGGAAGGTGGCTTTCTCGATCAAAACAACTATAGTTACATGGTTCGCGAATTTTTCACATGGAATTCCTCATCCAAAATCATAAAATGTACTGTTCAATCCTAAGGAATCTACAATTCTGTGCCATTGAATCAGGACCAGCTGCAAATATTCAGTTTTCTGACTATAATCCCGTGCTATAAATTGCACATTGTCTTTGTTTCCCTAAATTTTTATTAAAAGTAAAATAGCCATATGGACAGCATTTACTTTATATTTCATTATCACTCATCAATCTGATAGGTAAATTTTTAATATGAATTTTATTATAAAAGTAAAACACAATAAAATAAATTTTTGTAATTAAAATAAAATAAAATAAATTTTTCTAATTAACATTAAAATAAAATAAAAGAAATTTTTGTTATTAAAATTAATTGTAATATTGCAGAAGGGTAGAGGTACTCTGGGATGGGAACGATAGCGAACACAGCGTGTATTTATATTCTTGACCAGGCAATTTACTCGACCTGAATCCGATAGGAAATATTTCAAATATACTTAAAACACTTGTATAGCCATCTTCAAATACTATAATAGCTGATTGGAAAGAAAAGATTCTAGATATTTGCCAAAACAGCGAAGATATATGATAGAACAATGTATACACAGCAAGCCAAAATAATGCAAGAATACAATCACACACGTTATTAACATGCATTTCGCATATTTTTTATGTATAGCATTAGTTCGCGATAAGCACCTTATTAAAGTTTCCTTATGCTCTGCAATTTCATTCAAAGTATTGAAAAAGTTGATTTTGGTGGTCCTAATTCCATGAACTTTAGTTCTAGACATTCGAATAATTTGTTCACGTCGAACCCTAACAGAACCCGTGCAAAAGGAGCAGCCTGCACCTCGCAGCATGGAGGAACGCTGGGACGAGATTAGTCCCCAGTTGTCCGTGGTAATGCGGGAAGGGACGATACCGGAAGTTGTGCCATTTGACGCAACGTTGGACGTTCCTATCGAGGATCAAAAGTAATTTCGAATACTTACTCTCAGCGAATGAAACTTTTGCTACATTAATTTTCTATACTTCATCTCGTTCTTCTTCTATTTGCAGAGTGGATGCTATGAAGAAAATTCAGAAGCTGTTGCGCACCAAGTTCCTCGAGCAAGCTATCGGCCTTATTCGTTCTGCGAGGTGAGATATTTGGTTCTTTCGGCTTTTTGAAAATCATTTCTTTCGAGCTGCTTGTTATCTGAAATTCTTCCAGCGTTGTCGCTAACAACGACTGTGTTTTGATTGGAAATTCGTTCTAAGCCGAACGAGACTCCCGTAGGAAGCACAGCTAACGACTAGCACTCGCCTTTGTGCTTCGACTCGTTTGATATGTCAGTTGTCACGCGAGAGCTGCCTTTGTTGTCTTTTGCGAAGTCGCGTTTGCTTTAATAATCTAGTGTCTTTCATAAATTGTTCCAGTGAATTGTTTATTTGTTTTGCTCGCAGAATATGAAATAGGTTCTTAGTGTTTAGAAAGATTTCGTTTTTAGTATGAAAAATGAACGCTTTTGTAACGAATTTAAGAAAGAAACATATTCTTCAATCATTTTCGAAAATGGGAAACGATTGTCTGTCAAAGACTGCATTTTCTTTTTGCTGAAGAAGATAAAATGAATTTTATATGAATTTTAGATAATTTTATGTAGAATAAAATCTGTGGAAATTCCAAATGAAACGAGTGGAAGACTGGAAAAGATCTACGTAATTACAGGAACGATATATTAAAGCTTGAAATTAACATTTGCTTCGGGTAACAGGCAGTGATTTTCAGAGTTACAAGTTTGTAATTTTTTTACCTTCAAAACATCCTTCTACCACAGCATTCCACACATGTGGACATTTATTTAAAAGCGAAGCAAGAATTTTTGAAGTCAACCAGATTGAGCGACTTCTAATTAACATGCTGTGGTTGATGATTTTTCTGAAATTCAGGTTGCCAAAATTAGTTTATAAAATGTTTATATATCGTACATTCAATTGTATGTATTAGATTATCTGTAGTAGGCATGCTATCAGATTTCAGTGTTCAAAATAATGTAGTAATGGAAAGAAACAACGAAAATTTTCAAAAATATTTCAGCAAGTATGAAAAGATTTCTAATTACATAAATGTATTAAGATTATTTGTATTAGATATATCAGGTACCAATGTTCATAACAATGTAACATCTATAACAAGGGAATTTTCAAAAACGTTTTAGCAAAATTTAATATGAAAACACAATTCAGTTTATTAGATTAGTTCTATTGGGTATGTCAGTTTTGTGTTCAAAATAATGTGGTATCTACAATTAGAAAAATTTTCAAGAACGTTTCAGTATTCAATGTAGAAGTATTTGCATTTTGAATTCTTCAGTAATGTAATATATATGTAATATATAATATAATATAATATATAATATATAATATATAATATATATGTAATATATAATGTAATATACTATAGTGAATTGAAAATTTATTTCCATTAAGAAAGTCATTTATGCTTTTGAAG